CCAGAAGCTTTCCCAGACTGGTTTCAGAAGATAAAGCTGTATATATAGAGCTATAGCTTATGTGAAAGGTATGTATTYGATAAATAATAATAATAATAATAATAATAATAAACGAATTCTAAAGCACTATATTCTTTTTATGGTTTAATTTAAATTTAGTCCAAAAGAGAAATTTTAATTCTACTGATTGGTCTTTAAATTTGACATAATACAGGTATTCTCCTATAAGTAACTACAAAGATAATGACAAATTCTTCACTTCTGAAAAGGTTTCCATAGCCTTGTACTTAGAAATCTATACAAAACATTTAGAATTCCACTACGGGTAAAATCTTTCCCTTGCATACCGTGTTCTCAGAAATGAGGTCAAGCATTCCCTGGCAAGAAAACTTTCTGACTCATTACTCTACCACAAAGCATGCAGAATTCCCTCTTGAGTCCCAGTCAAATTGTTCAAATGCTTTGGAAAAATATATCTTTGACATCCTAAGAAAGGGACTATAGAAAGCCTGTCCTCGTTGCATGGAAGGATTAGAGTTCTCTTGCCATTTCCAAGCTATTATTATTTATTAATTCATGCAGTGGGTTTCCACAAGCACTGAAGTACTTCACAGAATTACAAATTCTTCCATAAAAACACAGACATGAAACTTGCTAGATACTACTGACATGTACCCAGCTTTCCTAGCAAATTTTGTGCCGGAATGACCAAGCTTTCCTAGCAAATTTTGTGCCGGAATGACCAAGCTCCCCCTGCACAATTGCTGGGGAGAATCCGACTTTCCGATCCCATGAAACTTCCTTGCCCTGCGTTTCAGCCTCCAGGCCCCAAGCTCTTCAAAGGCCAACAGCATCTTCACTAAATGGTTAATCCTATCAACTATATGTCTATATAGACATATATAGATGGATGCAGCACATCCAAACCTGCCATATAGTACGTGTTCTTCTGGGAAGTCCAGTGTCTAGATCATTAAAACTCTCTGCTTTTTTTTCCTTCTGATTAGCCATCTTACCATCATATGAGCTGGGCCTACTGATCACCAAATTATTTTTCTGCATTTTCACTCCAGCTGTCCCTTCCAAAAGTCACAGCTTCCAGCAAGTTGGAAAGGATCTTATGACACTGTTTGGTCCAGGCTCTGCTCAAGTGGGTCCATAAAGTCTTCCCCTCTATTTCTTCCCATAATCTATCTTAAATACCAAGTCTTATCATCATAAAGAGACTCCCTTAACTCTCAAATGGCTGTAGCCAGAAAATGGAGACTAGTATCTGCTATGGGTATAACCCAGTTATGCCTTTTGAGAGCCTTTATACTCTCAGCATAAGAAAAATTAAGAAAAAAATCAGAAAAAGAGGGCGAGAAGATTCAGATTAATGAGGAAGGACAGCAATATAGGGCTTGTGAGGTGTTTTCATTCCCACATCATGCATCCATCTCATGTAAAGAGAAAAAAAGTAGGTAGAGGCCACAATCACTGCATTAGAGTGGAAGAAAATAGAAACCTACCCCTCAATAAAATAGCGATACTAGTAAAAATAATGTTAAGAATCAAACGTCTGCAGCCTTTTATGTTAGTAAGAAAATATTTCTGTGTTATGAAGTGCTACAAAGCACAGTCCTTAGTCAGGATAAGCAGAAAGCAGCAGCTTTTCCCAAGGAAAACCCTGATGTGTGCATGGGTCCGAGCGTGGTCTCGTGTCTCCTCTCCTCTGAACTGCCTCTCCTGTCTCTAGCACTTTGATGCCAAAAGGCCAAGGCTAAAAGGTCCCTCTGAGCAGCCCCAGACAGCAGTCTTCAGAGGCATTCATGCAACTAAATTAAGTCTTTGTTTACACTTAAGTGAGTAGATGAGTGCAACTACTAAGTCAATGGGACTATTTGTGTTCTGAGAGATTCAGTATTACACATACATGATTTGCTGTCCAGAGCCATACCTAACAAGGTGTAAAAGGGAAAATAACAGTGCTTGAGCTCCTGCACAGTGCTTGTCCTGGCATTGCACAGCCCAAGGGCTGGAGGCTTTCAGGGTGGTTTATCACCATTTCATGCCTCAATTCCCTCGGGAGGCAAAGGGCAAACACTCTCAATGTACCCTTGCTACCCCAGTTCACTTCACTGCTACCTCCAGTAACCGTATCTAAACTGGTCTCTAAATTTGTCAGTCCCAGATAATGAGGAAGCTTTTCCACCCACTGTTATTCCATATCGGCAAGGTAGTGTCTGATTAGGCTGGATTAGAGAAGGCAGTATTCCATATTGGAAAGGTTAGTGTCTGATTATATAGCAAGAGTAAGTGGTAACAGGCTGGATTAGAGAAGGCAAAGTGTCATGTTAATATATTACAGTATTGTTTGACTTAATATTTAATATTTTCTTTCTTTGTTTAGATAAGAATTCAGTAATCCTTCTCCATTTCCCTTGCTTTCAGGTTCTCGACTATTGCATGCCCTGTCCCTTAGAGGTCTCTTTCCCACGTTATGAAAATATTGACAAGCCGTCATTACCCTATTTGCACAAAGGTCTCATCTGCTGTTGACACGTCCTTCCTTTAAGCAGCCCTAAGAGTGCTGATGTGATGTGCACTCAGTGACTGGCACTTACAAGTCACACCCAGGAGCTCTCAAATATGCACAGCTCCCATTGACTGAAGGACCAGAACAGTTCAAATGAATAATTCCTGATTTAATTGGCTAAGGACAAAATGAAAACTCTTGATTTTAAAACTGAGCTTGACTTACTGGTACATTGCACATCATATTTTTTCATCACTTTTTGGTTTTAGGTAGCTAATGATTGTCCCAATTAAGAAAACATTCACCTTTGCTTCCACTCGGGGTGGCGCACAACTCTTGTTTTTTGTTATTATTATGATTATTTTTTTTTTAAACACAGTGCACAATGGCTCCTGGGAACTCGTGCCCACCCAGGTTTCCAGGATCAGGCCCTAATTGTTCTCACTTCAGGAAATCTGGGACTTGACCACTGGCATTCTGCCAGCAAACGAGAAGCAGCAGTTTTGCTGCCTAAAACTCAGCTCTCCAGAACTCTCTGATCACTAAAGAAATACTGTACTGTGCCATTTCATTGTCTTCCCCCTCCTTTACAGGGCTGTGTTTGTCATTAACAAAAGCTGGAATATATTTGCTTTCTCTAAGAGAATTCTTTATTTAAAAAAGCTACAGTATTTAGCGCTCCCCATTAACCTTCACTAATACAGAACTGCAGTGGGGACAGGCAAGCATTTGTACCAGGCAAGCAGTCTTCCCCAGGCTGCCTGGACAAGCCAGACCCAGCTCTCCCCATGGGCCACCCTGGTCCCCATTTCTGCAGGAAAGCTTGCAGGAGTAAGCCATGAAAATAGGGATTTTGAACAGTTAGGCATTTCAGTTGGACTGAAATATATGCCCATGTATTAAATGTATTGAAGACTGTCCATGTATTGAATGCAGGTTTGCTGAATTTTACCACTGCTCAGATTTTTCAGAAATCTGTATTAAAAAAAATTATCCATCACTATCCTGTTTTTTGGCACATCATGGTAAATTCAAAATACTCTGTTCAAGATAAAAAGGCAGGATATTCCTTCCACCCTTGACATCAAACAGAGGTGCTTAAGTTAAAATCCCCATCTTTCATTTCTTCTTACAAGAAGAAAGGATGGACAGAGATATTTCTAGAGGGCTACATGAATTTTTAGATTTTTTTTGAAGGGCTAACTCAGCTCATAGAAAGGCCTCTCTCCTTACCTAGGAAGCAGCTGAGCTTCCTAATGTCATTTTGGTGAGAGACCAAGTACTTTGTACTCTTCCCACACATCCAGGATGGTTTCTGAAGCTATGCAGTTTTACAGCAAACTAAATACCCATGACTGATAAGGGAGGAAACACCACAGATAACACTGAAGGAAGGTCAGCTAACACATATTGTACAGGTATCACATCAAATGGAGATTTTTCTGAAGTTATATTTTTACTTATGATGTGTTTAACTGGTTGGGCTAGTAAAAGGACAAAACAGAGCAACCTGAAGTGATGCTCAATTCATCTCATCTCCAACACTATTATTATGTACATAGTACAATAAGTATAAGAATGATTTCAGGCTTAGATATAAGACTTAGATTTAGAAAGTTGGCAACATTTCAGAGTATGTCAAGTTAGCAAGTGGGTTCTGCCTGTGTGGGGCAAAAAGGGAGCAGCTTCAACCCAGAAGACCTCAGTTTCTTCACTCTGGTGCAAGAAGAGAGCTGGGTTTTCATTTAGCTGTGCAAACTTGGGGTCACCTGCTATCCTCTCTCTTGGGCATATGGGAAATGGATGAGGTGAAAGAAGTAGCAAATGGAGATACTTTTTAAAAAATTTCACAAATTTAGAAAAATCAATTGAGGAAATAGTCATTATGACAACTTGTCATTTCTCCTCTGCCTTTCCTCCAGGTCTCCCAGGCTGTACCAACTCGCAGATATTTGCAGATGTGTAAGGTATGAATCATCTCACACATCACTGAGGTGAAGCCTGGCAACTATTTAACAGCACCATTGCAACACTATGGAACATTTTAAGACAGGAAATTAAGAATACCTGAGCCAACTAAAGCCATGGGAGAACATTTAGATGGACAGAATTTAATTACCCATGCTGGAATTTGGCCAGGACACCAAAACTTATACCCCAACCCTCACGTAAAGTGCCATCAGACCTTCAGTACTAACAAATGGTCAAAGCATCAGTCTTAGATCTGATCCAAACAAGAGCACTGCTACAAGTCATCTAAGTCTGCTGAGGGATTAATTTGGTAGTGACTGACAGGCAAGGGTACAACACACTGAATCACACAGAGTGTGAAGAACAAGAAAAATATCTTGACTAGCAGCACTGAAGACTTTTCTACTCTAGAAGTAGCTCGTTCTCTCTATGTATTTTTTTTTTAGAAAAATGCAGATAAAAAATGCACATTTCAATATTTCAGATTTCAGAATATCCTCATTTCCCCACTACAGATCCCACAAACACACTTCACTTCCCAGCCTCTTCTTTATTGCCATTTGTGGTGTGGAAAAAAGACATACCATACTGAATAACAGTGTCAGCTTGAAAGAAAAGAATAAAGCCCAGACGTATATACTTTTTTATTCCTCATGTTATTTTTCTAAGAAAAGCTGCACTCCATCTAACATTTATCTGTGGTAAGGCTAAAAAATTCCATGGGTTATCATTTCTGCAAGAATAGGATTTCTACAAGTCATGGCTCTTGAAATTTCTTAGGTTGAGGAATTATGTCAGCCCTGAAAAGCCTGGGTTCATTATTCACATTGTGTTAATCGGTTGACATAATTCCCTAACCGACTGGGACACGAGGTGTCCCAGTTTGATAGTTCAACCTACAGCCACTGCTTTTGGCTTCTCTAAACAGTAAACAGTTTTGTGTCCGAGTTCCTGGCTTAAAAATCCTTTGAGCAGTATATCTATATAAGAAACAAAATCTGGGTTAGTTGTGGGCCACGAGCAATTTGTCAAGCAGCATTAGTTATGTCTGTGGGATATTTTTCATTATCTGAGGATTATTAATAGAGACAACTATATACATACTGATTATTCCTTGACTAATAATTGAGATAATATTGATATGAAGCCTAGTTTCATTAACACCTCAGTAAAGAGATGTGACTGTGAAGGGTATTTTTTCCCTGCAATTTGTAATCAAAAGTTATTTAATAGTAAAATCAGTCATTACTTATAACAGAGGTTGTGGACTAGGGAGTTGGTAGAGCCAGCTGCCAGGCTGCTGGGAGCCAGACTCTTTTTGATCTTCATATTGAATGGTTTCCTTTGATCACCTAGACAATAGATCATAAAAGAACAGAGCTTCTACCCATATCTCCCTAAATTTGCAGGTAAATAATGAGATGGTCTGAACTGAGGCTAGAGCATAGGATTTTTAACAAACAATTCTCCCCTTTGAAGTAGACTTAGGAAAATTAGCATATAAATGAGCAATGCTGCTACATAAGGACACATGGCTGAAGAAGGATAATTGGACTGAGGGGGTTAGTTTCTAAATGAGGTCGTTTGCTAAATGACCAGCAGTTAGAGTACAGGTGTGTTCATCTTGCAAGAATGCTGCAATGAGGAGCAAACGAGGGGTTTGCTCAGGCTGGGAACTGCAGACAGGCAGCTCTGGAGCTGGCCAGGAGAGCCCAAAGTTGGGTTGGAGACAGTGCAGAGCCTGCATGGAGCCAGACCACCCCTCTGTGGGAAGAGGTATCCAAAATGACTCTGAAGCCAGATTGTGGTTCCTTATGCCAGTAATTGTCAGGATCATCTTGAAACACATAGTGCAATCCAGGATGTTCATCTGTTAACCTCTTCTGCTCTGCACAGGGAGCTCCATTTGCAGCACCTATGGATAAGGATCATTATTTCACAGAACTGCAGTGGTAGGTGCTGCCAGGAGACTGCACAGGCTGAAATAGTTGTTCTTGAAACCCCAGAAGTGTTGACTGTTTTAGCAGCAATTTTATTTCACTGAAAATAAGCAGCATTAGCTGCCCCTAAGGGAACATGTCACCTCTTTATGGGACACCCTGGTTCTCTCCCATCATTCCCGCTGTACTAAGAGGGCCCCATGCTTCCCATAGTAGCAACACAACTGGAGACAATGGAGTTTTTCAACTTACTGAATGATCACAAAGAACTTGGGGTGGGGGTGGGGGAGAAAAATCTTTGAAACCCTTGAGTCCTCTTTCAAATAAAGAATGATTAAAACGCTGCATTCACCAGATGAATCCTGAAGGCCAGGGAGCTCTGGGTGAGTTGGGAAAGGCAGACACTTGGACAGAGCAGGCTGAGATGTCAGATGAAGGTGACCCTTGATCCAGGCACATGGCAGGGAAAAGACAAGGGTTTTGGACACATGTAATGGAGGGGCTGCAAGTGGGAGCTTTGGTGCGGGAGAGGTGGAGAACAGGGTAATGGCTGAGGCTGGAGGCAAATGGGAGCCAAAGGAAATGAATTTATTTCACCCCTCTAGCTTAGTCACTGGGTTGGGGCTGGAGAATCCCCTGCCTCTTTTCTTCCCTTCCCACCGCCCCTCTTTTTTCTTGTTGGTAAAAAAGGGCCCAGTCAAACTGCACAAAACTCATTTGTTTCAGAAAAATTGAAATGAACTTTCTGCACTTCCTAAATCCTTCTATATTTATTAATTCAAAATGACTGACCAAAAGTCAACCTAAAATCACAAACTACCTTCTTTTCTGGCAAATAAACTTTTCACTGAAAACATATGTGCCGGTCACAACACTAAATGCAAGCAGTCTATTTACTTGCTGCTTGGCTGATGGCTGGCCTCTTCCCAGGAGTGCAGAGGAGATGGAAGACATTAAGAAAAACTCTGAATATTGCTAGCTGAATAGTCTGTAAAAAGGATGGAGATGATAGGACTGAAATCCCAGCACTGTAAAGTGGCACTTTGATTTTTTTTTTTTAATAAAAACTTTGTAGCTAAAGCTTCAATGGAAGTTACACAAATAAAAAACACACAACACTTGGAAACCACACCACTGTGCCACCATAAACACACAGAATTAAAAGAGGCCTTCAAGTGAGCTGACACCCTGAAGCCAGACCCACTCAGTTCAGGCGGCACACATTGGGAATACACATTCCAGAGCTTATTCCCTTGGCACAGGCTAGAGATGCAGACCAGGCTGCAGAGGCGGAAACGGCTGCTCCAGCCTGGTCACCACTCCTGGTGTCACAGGAACCAGTCCTGTGACAGGGTGGGTCTCCAAAATGCTCAGGCAGGAGTGCCAGTCAGGGGTTAGTAGCTGCAAAAGTAGCAAGATGACAGAGAAGCTGATGAGGAATCACAGTTCAACAGATACCCTGACACAAGAAGTAGGGACCCTCACTGAAACCCATAGATCACCCAAAAGCATTTTAGGCAAGAGATAAAAAGCTTTTAAATCTATCACTGGGGCAGTAAAGCTGAGAGTAAATAGAGCTTCAAAGGCATTAAAGGAGTTCCTGGATGACAGGTCCATTAATGGATCTGGAAGGCAGCAGGCACTGTAAGAGCAGCCCTAACACAGTGGATCCCAGTGCTGGGGGCACGTGAGCAACGGGCTGTGGAGAGCAGTTGGTTTCACAGGCTCCCCCAGGACATCCCTGTCGTGGTGTCAGACAGCAGGGCAGGTTGGACTGCGAGGCTGACCCAGAGGGGTTTTCCTACATGTCCATGCTGGATAGAGCCAGAGACACCACAGAAGCTCCTGAACTGCACATTGTCACACAGGACAATGTGTGGGGAACAACCTCACCCCTTTCGCAGACCCAATAGAGTTTGTAAACTAGCCCCCAAACACAAACCTCGCTCTTTCCCAGCTCCTTCAGCATGGACAGAAATGCACACAACCTTTGGTGCTAATGACATATGTAGGGACTCCTGGAGCCACACTGAAAATCACTGCCCTATCCTGCTGTCCTGGTGAGACCGTTCCTAGTGCAGCCCTCCTGGAACAGTGATCATAGTTCAGTGTGAAGATACCAGCAAACAGTGTTGTATATGGGTCTACTGTCCCTAGGTGAACATAAGCCTAATACCGGGGAAAAGGTGCATATTTCCTTGGAAAAGGTTTCTCTGTGTGGAGGGCAGCACGTGAGTGTGGCTTTGATTGTGACTCAAAGGTGGCATCACAGGCAAGGTGTTTATTTAATTGGTGTGCAAGGTGTTTTAATGTGGGATTTCAAATTGTGCAACACCTCACGTGCTCCAAGGCAAGGGGGACTTTCCCAAAGCCAGAGACATCAAGGGAGCTGGGGAAGTGGAAAATAAAAAGGACTTTCTTTTCTTAGGGCACAATCCATACTGGCTTATGATGGAGGAAACAGATTGCAGTGAAACAGGGATAGTTGGGAAGAAGAGTTATGGGAAACAGAAATTACAGGCTAAGGTAGGCTGGGTAGGAAGTAAGAAAACAATTGGGGTTTGAAAAATGACCAGAAAAGAGATATTCTCAAGGGTGTAAGCAATAGCCCAGGCTACACTGAGAATGAGGTTAGTTTTGGAAATTAACATCACATCTATCTAGTTCCAAAAATCCTTGTCCACCTTAAATGGAGTTCACTCCACAAGATAACTGCTACAAATAATCAAATACATTATAAACTGGACATATCCTCTACATCAAGTAATCCCGCTATAAAAATTGAGAATAAAGGAATTTGCTGGATGACTAGCACTTAAGAGATTGCTCCCTGGTGGGTTATTTGCAGCCTATTCTCTCCTCCAGTAGGAGTTTATGTTGAATAACTCACAGCTGTGGAAATACCTGCGCAAAGGAATTTAATACCACTGATAAAGGGACCCAGGCAGGCACCGCTCCATGCCGGCTTGCTCACACCAGGGCCCGTGAGCACCTCAGGTCACCTAGGCTGGCGAGTGGCTTCACACAGGGCCCAAGCAGCTTGAGGGGAGCAGGGAAGGGGGCAAGCGCGGGGTAGGTGACATGGTGGCGTCTCAGCGCAGGCACAGAAGAGGCAAAAGATGGAGTAACTGGTGACTCCGGCCCTCTCCACAGCCCATGTGAAAGGAGGCTGCTGAGGAAGCAGAACCATTTTGGCAAGGCCCACGTTATCACATTGTTTAACTAAATCCAGTTCCGCCGCCCTGAGCAGCAATCCTGCTCACACGCGCCCTGCGCTGCCACAGGCCCGAGCTGCACGCGGCCCGGCGGCCCCGGCATGGAGCGCAGCTCTCCCCTTCCTCAGCAGCTTGTCCTAGAAACACAGCGCCCACATTGCCGCTTCCTGAAGCCCTTTGAAGGTTTCAAGGCAACCGCCACCTCAGCCCCCATGCCCTTCTCCACCAGCTGCCATCAGCGCTCGATTGCCACAATAAAATCGTGGTTCTTGGCCACACTGTCTCCATTTCAAGAGCCACATCCCACTATCAGGAGGTCTGGAGCCTGAACACGCCAGCTCCCTGTGGAACCCCTTGTTCAATCGCTCACTACAAATGGGTCATTAGTTTTGTTTTGTGTTCCTTTTCTCTCCCCCACAAGAGCACAGCTGGCATCTACAGCAAAGCCAGGCCTTGTTGCATGAAACTCGTGGGTTAGATCCTTCTAAAGGGGATTTTGGCTTCAAAAACAAACACAAAAGAAACCCAAAATATTTAATTTTTTTTTTCCCCTGGAGAGAAAGAGGAGTATTTAACTTCTCTTCCTTGACCATTTAGGCAGAAATATCCACAAGACAAAACTTACTGAACAAAAACAACTCAGAGCCCCCCTCTTCCCATGGCAGCAAAGACAGCTAGAAGGTGGCAGCTGTCACACGCAAACACAAGGCTATCCCAGTCCTACACAGCTCAGGAAACACAGTGGATGATCTTGACTATCCATGGAAACCCCAGCTACAAACTGAACTCATAAATGGAAGTCCTGTAAAAATTCATATGTGAGAATCTGGTGATTTAGGAACTGAGACAATAATATAGAGCTGCTGAAAAGCCTCTGTGAAAAGAAATGCTCCAGTCACTAGCTTTTTTTTTTCTCTCTTGTCACACATTGAAATGACCAAAAAGGGAGATTTCAATGAAAGCAGCTGAAAATTCTCTTTCAAAAAGGAGGCTGCATCCAAAGAGAGGCACAAGTCCCGGAATCTGTCATGCTTGCTGGATCTCACACCTACTCTGCTCAACACGCTGCCTTGCAGCAGCCTGGGCGAGAGCCACCTTGCTCCTGAGGGAAGGGAAAGGCACAAACAAGGCCCACGCTGCGTCTTTCATGTAGCCAAAAAGAGGTGAAAGGTTACAAAAACAAACAAATTTTCTTAAGCTACTAAAGACAGATGAGAGAAAACTGAATTAGAAAAGCCAACACAATGTCAGAAAACACCAGACAAGTCTTAAAAGCTTTTCCAGTACTCAAGTCCCCAAGAGATCACTCAAGGAGGATGAAACTACACATGATGAAATAGAGTCGCAACTGAATATGATAAGGAGCGTTAAATACCTGTTTCATATTGAGCTTCTGCTAAAATGTCTCCTAATGTATTTACAAGGGACATGCTAGCCATGTGCATTATAGCTGTTCGATACAAAGTGGTACACACCATCTCAGATGAATTCAGAGTTGTTGAGACAGAGATAATAATTAAACCAAGGCAATGCAATACTCAGTCTCCAAAGAATAGATTCATTTTGCATAGCATGAAATAGTGGTTTTCTCCTGCACCTCCAGCTCTAAAGACATTTCTGCAGGCCAGTTTGCACCTAGCAAGTCACCTGAGAAAGATCTATAGCCTAGATAACAGCACAATCACAAAAAGCAAAAACACCCCACCAAAACAACACCAAAAAAAGAAAATAAACCTGAGGAGTTACAGCTTGCAGCGTTGAGATGAAGCAAGGCTGAGCTTGGTGTCCCGGAGGAAAGGCATCAGCAGCTGCCTCTGCCCTAGTACTGCAGCTAAAACCCCTTCCCTGGCCAGCTTCCCTAACAGCATCATGTGCCTGTCTTTTCAGGGCTGCATTTATCTGCTTTTGCTAATTAACACCTATCAGTCCCACCTGAGGTGCTTGTGCCCGTCTGTGGCTGCAGGCTTTTAGTAGGGCTCAGTTCAATATGCAGAAATGTTTATTCCTGATGCCATCTTTGCTCTCTGTATCTGTGCATAACGGTGTTTTCGAGTGTGCTTAGGGATTAAGATTACCCATCTACCCACTAAAATCAAAAATATTTCTTGATGTAAGTGATATGATTCTTTGTATTTCAGAATTGGCCCCTCAGGTCAGGGCAGATCGCTCCTGCATTTGGATTGCTCCAAGGCTGCTCTTAATAAATCTTCTTCCTTGGAAGCAACTGATACTACTTGCTGTCAAAATAGCATGCTAAACTAGAACAAATTTGAATTTTGTGAATATTCAGTGGAAATTACTAGCTTTTCATGAGGCATAGCCACATGTTCCATAAATTTATAGACTTCCATGAGTGAGTCTTTATCTAAAGGTACCATCTGCCAAACTGCAATACTGGGGTACTAACATATTCCCTAGTACAAGGGTAGCGATATGTTAGGATAAAATCAGTTTATGTGATGCTAAATATTCAATAACTCCTATTAATATAGTAGAAGATTCAGGCCTCAGCCTTGTATAAAAATAGGCTGTCAAAAAGCTAGAAGAAACATACATATCATCCATACATACATCTCAGCAGAAGCAGCTGCTGGGGTCGCTCGTGCCCCAAGGCAGCTTTAATTTGGACATGCTGTATATCACCAGAGGACTACTTGACCGCACTTGCAGTATCAAGAAATATTTTCAGGACTATTCAGTCTCCATTAGCAGTTTCTCCAGGAATTATTAGGCACAAACTGGGTTTCCTTCAGCATCAATCATTCATGTTTGCTCTTTCATCCTGCCTCTGGTAAAATGGGATTTTCATGGAGGCCATGAAATTGCAAAATTTAGTCCATTCTTATGGCTGAGCTCCATCGTTTAGGCTCCTTAATGGTGTCTTGCGGCAAAGGCTAAGGCAAAGAGCCCCTCTCCACCCTGCTGCTAGGGAATACCCATTAAAGCCCAGTATTTTGCCTTTCTATTCAGTAGTATCCTTTTTTTTTTTTTTTCCCCCCTTGTATAATTCAAGGCCGATTTTCCTAGCATCTCCCTAAGAAAGGGAACCTATTCCCAGTTCCCCAAGGATGGAGTTGCCTGGTATCCCTAGAGCGCAAGATGTGACCTCCTCCAGGACCAGGGTTACAAACTAGCTGCTCATGACCTGCACAGACATTCCCAAACACAAACACTAGTTACACCTCTAGCAGCTCTCTGGTTATCCCAGAAGTCCCTTCCACCCTGGATTGTCCTATTTTCCTATTACATGCACATTCCTAGGTGAAGGTGGTGAGACCTGTGCATCCCTTCCTCCTGCAGATACCCACCATAAGGCCACAAAGATCCACATTGGCCCCACTTGGCTTGCTTTGGAAAGGGGGAAAGGAGGCGCTTTAGGGAGAACCGAAATGGTCTCAGGAGGTGCTCTCTGGGAGCTGGACTTTGCTGACCCGAGGGAAAAACCTCCCCAAACAAAGCTATTCAAAACACAATCAAAATGCACCGCTGCTTAGGAGACTTTACGCGCTCCAAGTCCATCATAACAGCAATTACCTTAGTTATCAGTGTTCTTTCTTGGTCCCTTTACTAATGACATGATCCTGCTTTTCTAAGTAAACTCCCAGAATTTCCTCCCTCTGATTTGACAGGGTGCTTCTCAGGGCCACTATTTCCCTCCATTTAGCTAAAACAAAAAAAAAAAATCTTTCTCTTTGAAAGTATTTCAGCATCATGAGATAAGTTTCCTTCCTCCTTTTAATAATTGCACAGTTCCCCAGAGGAAAGTGTCAACAACATTATTTCCTTCCAATTCTAAAAGAGCTACAATGTCCGCGTGGGTGGTAAGATTAGATTACAGTAAAATTAATTGTTAGTTTCAAGCTTTCATTTTTCAGGCACCAACCTCAGCTCCCCTGAACTTGTTGCTTCAGCTCACCGGTGATCTTATCCACCTTCCCCACTTCTGTGCACGCGGTGGTAGAGCAGCATATAAAGCTGGAAAAACACCACTTAACTGGATCCCACAACCAGAAGGCATATAATCTGCTATTAAAAGTAGATGTTGTACCTTAATTCTCTGCCAGCAGGGAAAATGTTCCCAAGAACATGGGGAGAGACACGGGATCAGAGTGTAATTTGAAATAGAAAAGGAGAAGCTGGTGCCACCTCTCCCAGCATGGGGATGAAGGGAGAAGCGATGAAGACTGCGGCATGGTCAGCTGCTCTGCCTCCGACCACCACGTTAATCCAGCCCATTTGGACATTTTCTTTATGAATAAATAAGTGAATAAATAAAAGCAGCTCCATCTGTTATCCACCCTCACCACAATAGGATGGATTGATGGCTCGCGGAGTGGGTTTCGGAGGGGTTATGGAAAAAGTGTCCTTCCAGATTAATTCAAGGACAGCGCTCTGCGGAGTCTCTTACCCATTTTTCAAATGTTCCTGTGTTTATTTACTGAAACAACAGGAGCAACATGACACCATAAATCCTTTAAAAATTGAAATGGTCGTGCCAGTCTTGAAAGATTAATAATAAGGAACGCCTTTTAGAGTGTGCTCATGGAAATGTAATACGGATGATTAGTGTTTTTGAACATTAGAATTACAGTGTATAATTGTAATGTTATTGCAACTATATAGGGGCCAGTGATCCTTTAATGGGATATAGTGTGAACTTAATTATTTACATGGAAAAATCAGCGCTCATAAAGTCACTGATTGATAGACCTACTGCTTCCTGTATCCTGCAAGTGTTATGAAGGAGCAACGTTGGTGTCTATGCAGACCATCTCAGGCCATGCTTGTTATTTATTTAGTTTTAAACCCTCCCCTGTAGCTGACACATTCTGCACTGAGGGCCTAGTTCCCAGAGCAACCCGAATGGTCGTTTTTTGGCAGCCCTCCTGTGGGGCCTATCCCGGGTGCTGCACTTCATTAAAACAGGATTTTGCTTTCGGCAGCAAGGCCCCGACGTCGGACACGTCGGCGCTTCGCTTGGATGCAAGAGCCATCTCCCAAGCGGCAGGACAGGGCGCCCTGCTCCGCGCTGCCGCTTGCACGGGGGCTTCGCCGCTTTTGGGCGCGATCCCACCCAGAAACTGCACGGCTAAAAGCGCTCAGGGGCCCCTGCTCTGGGGTGGCTGCTGGGCCCGGCTCTCTCGGCGGTGTGGGGGGCTCTCAGTCTGCGGGGCTCCCTGCGCCCCGCAAGGCACCAGGCACGAGCGCGTTTGTTAACACAGTTTATTGGCACACTTATTGGCAAAGCATACATAAAATACAGTTGTATTATATAACACACTGACTCACTGTGTCTTTACGGGATGAGCTGAACATATTAATATGTAAATGAAAAAAATATTAGTTTCTTTTATAAAGTTTCACATAAATACACTGGAATCCAAAAAAAAAAAAAAAAAAAGAGGAAAAAAAGTTTTGAGGGCTTTACAAAAATATTATACAAGAATTATACCATGAAAAGAAATAACAACAAAGCCAACTCAGATACAATAATAGAAACACAAAAGTTTTAGATTTATTAAGCTGCCCACAAAGTTAATGGATTACATGGCTTTAAAATATCTGGATCAACAGCAATTTTACAAAGCATAAACTCTCATAGGACTGGGTGTCTTTTTCCACATAAAAATATTTCTCATGTCTTTGATGAAAAAAGACGTTTCTTGTTTCAGCACTTATTTAATGATGGAAGGAGTTTCTATTGGCATCAGCTAAATGTGAATTAAAAATGCTGGATCCGTTAAATGTTTAACCAATGAAAGAAGAGTTAAAGAAAGAACAGAAGTTACTTTAAATTATTTTTCCTTAAAAGCTGATTTTTTTTTCTGAAACAAGAAATTTCAGGTGCAAGTTGAAAAGCAGAAAATATTTTACAATTGTAAAAAGTTTTACATAGTTATGTCAATGAGATCCTGAGCACTGATGACTTGTTAAAATATGGCCATTGTTTGATGAGGAAAAAAACAACCCCTCCAATAATAAGCGTTGTCAGAAATTCGCCATGAGATGCTATACAATTTTCAATTATTTTAATTGAGGTCAGTGCCAGTATCATGTTGTGTGTGAAAGCTTCCAAGAAATGTGCGTGGAAGCTTATACATGATTTTTCCCTAATTAAAAAAACATCAGAGAGCTTTAGTTTAGAAATAGATTCTGTATCTGTTGAAAGGTATTTTTGTTCTCTTGTTGTTCTTTAAAGAATGCTGTGAAACAGTAATTAATAACCCCCTGACATACATTTCAGTGGGTGCTACTGCAGAATAGCCTATTGGGAAGCTTGTGGTGTAGGGTTTTCGGATTTGGTCTCCTGGTTAGCAGGAGGTTTGCTGTTCCACGGGCTGTTATTTCCCAGTGCAGGTGAATTGTTGAAATCTTCTTCATCATCCATGCCATTTGCTGCATCATACTGTGTGTTCTCTAATCTAGTGATAAGCCTTTCGTCTTCATCCCCGAATTCGCCTCCCATCAGAGTTGGTTCTCCTACCACCATCACATCCTGTGAACAGCACCCAATATTTGTTATATGGAAACCTTGAGAGAGAAAAAATCAACTTAAAAAAAGCATGTTAGAGAATTGGCATGTCTTAACTTTGCGATATTTGTACAACAGAGCTAAAAGTTCCTCAATAGCAGGAACCAGCAGACAGGCTTATGTTGCGTTTCTGATTTACATGGAAACCCCGACGCTCCCCTCTAGCCGCACGCTCATGCCTCTGGGTGCCAGAAACGCCAGGGCTGAAAGGCAGGTACCTGGGAAACGCACACGTGCTTGAAAGCACAAGCAGCCTGCGGAAACTTTAGTCTTTATCCAGTATCTCTTTCCT